GATTAATTCATTAATCAATAACTTGCATCCTTAATTTATACAGTAATGAAATTAATTTATATCTACTTATATTTACGTAATTAAGTGTTTTAATGACTTGGCCGATTAATCGATTAATTAAAAAAATAATTGACAGATTAATCGATTATTAAAATAATCGTTAGTTGCAGCCCTAAATAAAATGTAACTTTTAAAAAGGACAGTAAAACCAGAAGCTGAGGTTAAAACAATCAGCTGTCGAAGCAGCTAACGGGAAAGGTTTTTGCAGGAATCAGGGGTATCAATCTCCTGGGTGTGGAGGTTTTAACCCCTCGTTGTGAACACTCAGGATGAATTCTGCTCTGATTGTCAGAATTTGACAGTCTGTATTTAAATGGAGCTTCAGACTGACTCTGATCCTCTGCTGGTCTCAGGACCGTCTGTCCCTGACCTTCAGCTGGGTCCTGGGAGTTTAGAGCCTGGCAGGGGACGAGGAGGAAGTGGAGGGAAAGTGAACCATAAAATGTGTCCTGTCATCTCTAATGTCTTATATTAGCGTTCAGCGGTTTGTGACGAACACGATGGCTCCCATCAGTCCTCCTAAAGACTCTCAGTGCTGATGGAAATGTGGGGCGCTGAGGGAGGGAGGGGGGGCAGACCTGATGCAACCTGAACAGGAAATTAGACCTCTGAATGTAACTCTGAGCAGAAACAGATGAACTCAGAGACATTATCCTCAAGGACAAAGGAGTTTTTATTATTCATGATTTTCACATGTCAAGTTAGATTTATTTGACTTTTATTTAACCTTTAGTTAATCCAGTGATTTTAGAGCTTTGCAGGGAACCAGAGCAGGAAGTGAGGCTCCTTCAACCTCCTCCTTTAAACTCTGGTTTATTAAAGCAGGTGTTACAGATTTATTTGACTGTATTTTTCTATATTTAGTCCTGTTGAGTTTATAATAGAAACAGTTCAGGTGAGAAAACAAACTCTAGTTTTTTGTTTTCATATTTTAAATATTTAAAACAAAATAAAATAAAGTGTGATATTTAGTTTGTTGCAATGAATCTGACCTGTAATCTGCAATGACCTTTATCACAAACTCTCCTGTTCTTTCATATTTCTGTATGTTTTTAAATGTTTGTGTTTTAAAGAGTCGGAGTGTTCTGCTGATGGAAAACTGTTGTTGTTGGTTTGAGACATGAGACCCTGGGTGGGTCTGCCCCCTGAGAAGGAACTGAACACAGAAACCTGCTGGAATCTAAAGGTCAAGATGTCGTAGACAGAAAAACATTTCCTGTTTTAGGAGAAAGTGCTTGTTTCATCTGTGAACATCAAAAAGTCATCAGAGATCATGAGGATGAAGCCCCGCCCACAGGAAATCTGATCTTTCATCTTTTTATCGCTCACCCTGAATGAGGTTTAGAATCAAAAACTTACAGTTTCCTCTCCTCCTCTTCCTGCTTGCGCCTCTTCTCCTCCTCCTCCCTCCTCTTCCTCTCCCTCTCCATCTCCTCCTGGATGCGCCGAAGACGCTCTCGCTCCTCCTCCTCCTTCTTCTTGTTCTGCAGATTGGTCAGGAGCTTCTCGGACCGGGTCACCAGAGCCTGGTAGGCGTGGTCGATGTCGATGCGGCTCATGATGGTGCTCTGAGGATCGAAGACCAGACCTGGATCACTGACCCGCCTTAATGAGATTACATCATCGCTCCATCAGCTGTTAGTGGTCAGTACAGGTGCTGGTCATAAAATTAGAATATCATGAAACAGTAGATTTATTTCAGTAATTCCATTTAAAAAGTGAAACTTGTATATTATATTCATACATTACATACAAACTCATATATTTC